AGTGTTATATGTTTATGTATTTATTATATGTGATACATGACCTTTAATACAAAGCTTAATGGTAAGTTTATAATAGTGGGGCTCTGAGCCTAAGTGGATTTCTCAAGGAAACACAATGAGGTTGTTTAGTTTACCTTTCACAATGTCTCCATGTAATTTCTGACATTGCATAAGGTTAGCCAATGCACTTAGAAATGACTGGTTCTCTCTTTATACATTATGTTGACAGCAAAGTATGTTTACCACTCATTTGTGATGTCTGATTTGTTCCCACAAATTCTTTGAATTTGGTCTGAAAAGACCTCAAGATGATGACACAGAATTATATTCAGGAACTGCGTTAAAGGATAAATCTGCCGCCATTTTGTATGTTCTTATTGTCAACAAATGGTATGAAAAGACCTAAATCAGTAATGTGTTAGTCTGTCTTTCAACATACCCACTGGTTTGTACTAAATACATACATTTTAAAGAGTGGTTCTCAGTTCATTTTATTAAAAAGCTTAGTAAATTCCTAAAACAGCTGGTCACTGTAGTTTTTAACAAATATTATTCAAACAGAAGGGAAATGGTGCATTTGTTGGGTACTGTTATCAGCAATGGATTAATCCATATTTGGAGCTCTAAAGAGCATGTGGGACAGCAGTACACCTTCAGCAACAGTGTGTATTAATGGTAATGAAGGAACATGTCACCCAGTTCAACAGTAGTTTAAAGGTGAGCTTTGTCACTGGGTGGAGGTAAATGTGTAGAACAAAAAGAGAGAAATGAAAGTTTTGCATCAGTGACATTTTAATTATCTTTGAAAGCAGATAAACTAAACACCAAACAAACACAACACTAAGCACCTGTGACTCTCTCTCTGTGTTATTGTGTAGCATCAGACTGACCACCAGCTGTGGTGCTGACTGAAGCCTCTCTACAACCAACAAGCCCTGCGAACATATTTAAAGTCACCATGTTGATGTTTGGCTTGTGGAAACCAAACAATTATACATTACAGTAAACCACTAAAGTTACTCGGCAGCAAACATTTGAAGTCCTTTGCTCATTTACTGTAGGCTTACTGTAGCCAGTGTATGCACAGCAAAAAACAACATAGTCTCACAGTGTAAAATGGACACAACCTTTTAACAATGCTTTACACAGTGGTTGATATTAAATGCATGAAAGTTGCGTGTTGGAAACATGTAAACAATGCCAATGCAAAGCCTATTAAGAATGGTCATACTTTCCAACATGTTTTTAATGTGGTTAACATTGTGACACAGTCACAGTTGGTTGTGAAAAAGTAGCAATTTGGTCAGATTTAGGGTAAGAAAAACATTTCCTTAAATTGAGAGAGCAAAAAAAATACTTTGATACGTTTATGTAAAAACTGTGGTTTCAGCTAAAATAACTACATACAGGATGTAAGTGACATAACCTCCATACTTTGCATAGTTACCTAAAGTACATACATAATGTCCATTGTGTAGCCAAGTAAAATCCATAAAGTCACCTGACTACGTTGACTTTAGGAGAAAAAATGTGGTTTCAGTTTAAATAACTATGTATGGGACGTACGTAAACTTCAAAAATTTGTGTAGTCACCTAAATTACATACATAAAGTACTTTGTGTAGAGGTAAAGTCTATAAAGTCACCTGACTACGTAGACTTTAGGAAAAAAAAAACGTGGTTACAGTTAAATTAAGTATTTACGGGACATAAGTGACATAAACCTCCGTACTTTGTAGTGTGTTTACTCTTAGTTACTTTAAGCACATACATGAAGTACTTGGTGTAATTACTTAAAGTACGTAAATACGTTGACTTTTGGTTTTACATGGGACACGAACAGCAGTCTCCTGGTCGAAAGTTCATGTTTCTTTGACTCATTCACCACCTTTTCCACCCACCCTATATAATCTTTCTCACTTGTGTGTCAACCACGACAAAAGAGCCTTGTTGATGTTGCAATTGGCATTGTTTTCATCTTACCACATTGTCATTTTAGCACATTGTGTCCATTTCACGAATTTCTGAGATGACATGAAATACAAATAAAATTTTGATTGGGTTAGGCAGATATGCAGTATTCAAGGACTCAGACTGTTATGCAATCTTCTTTACACTAACCTTTAAAAACACTTCCAGCAGAGGGTTTAACTCCGCTTTCTTGACCACTGACCAAACACAGTTTTTACATGCTTTACACTTTACCCCTCACACACACGCACAAACACAGGGGGAGAAATCTGCACTTCAGTCTTTTGCTCAAGGACACCTCAACATGTTAGGCAGGGAGAGCAGGTATGAAACCACCAACCCTCAAGTCAATAGATCCAAGATCCAAGCCACCATCTGAGCTTCAGCTGTTGCTGCATTACCCTCATATATTTTTTCAGTCACTTTTTTCAATGTGAAAATGTATAAGGTGTATAAAACAGTTAGATGGAAAAACATTTTACTTAATAATAAAAAGGGTCTCCACCAGCAGCTGACGGCTGATCCAGCTGGTGTGAGTGTGCAGGCCAAGTAAGTGAGCCTGACTGCAGGTTGATAATCCCTCAGTGAGGCTCAAAACCTTTTGGTTATTCTCCAGCTCAAAGCATGTTAGTCTACAGCACCCAACAGAGTGTGCTGGGGCCTGCAGCAGACACACAAGACACACACGCACACACGTGCACACACACACACACACACACACACACACACACACACACACACTGTGTGACATACATGAGCTAAAATGCAGATGCTGGGGATTTTTTTTTTTTCAGAAATATCACTCATTGGGTCTATAAATAGCATCAACAACATTAACTGCTGGGTTGTTTGTATGCAGGAAAATCATAAAATTATCATGTGTCAGCAAAAATACTATGACCTGTCATCCCATTGTGTTTTTAATAAAGATAAGTCTATCGCTATTAAAACTGCAGCGAATGTTGTAAAATTATGTCAAGTGCAATATACAAAGAAGACAACGTTAATCATCTACAATCTTGCCTCTCAGAAATCAGCTCGTCTCCCACCTTTCTCCAGCTGAATGAAGGTAAATCAGACATCAGTGTGTGTGTAGCCCATGTCTGTAGAAAGCTTTACACGTGTCAGGCCTCCATAAACTACAAATCCTTATGTAAACAAGTCTAAAGCCAGCGGCTGTTTGTCTCTCAGCAGGTCTCAGTACGACCACCACCACACTGGCAGCTCTCAGGAGAAAAATGATCTTGTACTCGCTGACTGAAACAAATCTCCATCTTAACCAGGCGCGCTAAAAAGATTTTTTCTTTTTTTTTGCTTTGAAATATATGTTTAAATTTTCTGTTGGTGAGGAGAGACGATTATTTTAATAACTTCTGAGAAAAAAAGTCAGTAAAAAGACATAAAACAGGTGAAATCGTACATGAGAAAATTCCACCTCCTATTCACGTATACATTTTTTTGTTTAAAGAATGTTTTAAGGCTCAGTTAATTCATTTGAATCACATAAACTAAAGTACACTCGCATGTCACACTTGGTTAAAGATGCAAAAACAAAAGTTTGGGAGTAAGGCCAACTTTTGGTTAGTGTGTAGATCACAGACTGTACATTTTATATCAACTGGACTATCACTCATTCTTAACAAATGACATAAAACTTACTTTGCAATTAGGCTGGAAAAATATATTTTAAACAATCAGAGTTCTGACCATTTAACCTTGTTATGGGCCAACCTCCCACTGATTACATTTTTTCTTGAGTAGCATTCATGATGGATGTCAGAGGTAAGATCTGATGGAGCTGACATAAAGTTCTATATTTATTAATTTCACTGTAGTCGTAGTGAGGCGTCATTTTATTTTTCAAAGTTGCTAGTTCTTTTAATGTAGATCAAAATACTCATTTTAAACCACAATTTTTATTTAGTTTGGATTTAGAAGGGCTACGGAGTTGACATGTTATGGCTGAAACACACCCGACAGCAATATTATTTCAGAACTTCATCAAAATACAGAAAGCTTATCAGGGCCTGAGCAGCATTACCACCTTTTTGAAAACCAGGAAGTGAGACAGGAGTCCTTGTGATATAGCTCAGCCTTTTTATGCCTGATTAAATAAAGTTTATGTAGAAATCTGTCATCTTTAAGGGGCCAACATTTTCACAAAACAAAAAATATGTTTTAAGACAAATGCACATGTTCTAAAAATTGAGGGGCAGGTGTCCCCTGCATCCTGCCTGGATCTACGCCTACACTTGAACTAATGTATCCATAGTGCAGTTCCTTAGTTTTATCCCACTCCCTTTACATATAGTTTGATATCAGTGTAAAAGTTATTTATCAGTTGTGATGCTTTTGATAATAATTATGTTGATGTGAACCCATGAACTTTGTAATGTCAAAGAGGTTAGTCGAACAATTTCAATGTTGGTGATGTGATGTATATAAATAATTAAATGTCTTGATTCACACCAAATGTGTCTTCATTTTCAAACAGCCCTGGTTGTCTTGGGGGAAAAAGGTGCCATAACAGCCATGTGAGAGGCTAATTTGAGACTGTGAGAGGCAGATGAAGAGAAAGAGTACAAAAATGCAATTTATGGAAATGGGGCCACATGAGACTCCTAAGACAGTTCTATTGATGTTTTGCTGAATAAACAAAAGGCAATAATTTAAAAATACATCAAAACGATAACAACAAAGTATGCACAATCTTTATAAATGATAAACTTGGAATGTCATACCATGATTAACATGTCAAATTTGCTGCTGTCTAATTGAGATGAAATAATTTTTGGGTTGTGACTAATTCTGAGGCCTTAAAATAAGGACACAGACCAAAACCAAAGGACAGCCTTCCTGTAAATAAAATGCCGCCTGTCCTCCACTCCATAAAATAAACAGGAGCCCAACCTGCATTCTAAAATGTGTGCAAAGTGGATTCACACCCCTGTATACACTGTGACCACACTGTGCGTTATCTGGCTGGTACGCAGTGTCAGTTGAACGTCACACGGACGCTGTCTTTCTTACCGTAGGTAGTCTCTCCGGCACAGGATGAGGTTGGCTTTGGTGTAGAGCGTGGAGCCCACCTCGCCCAGCCTGCAGTCGCAGCAGGCACACTTGAGGCAGTCCTCGTGCCAGTACTTATCGAGGGCCTTCAGCAGGTAGCGGTCCTTGATCTTCCGGTTGCAGCCGGCACAGCCTTTTGGCTTGGTGTCCGGCTGGACGGAGAGCATTTGTATACCTGGGAGAAGCACAGAGAGAGGCTTCAAACACTCATGGAACACCAGCGCGCTGACCAAGGAGGAGGCGCACATTTCCTTATGGCAAAAGAAAGAAAATTTGAAGACAAGATGAAGCTATATGATCATGCGAGGAGTGTTTAGTTTAACAGGTGACATTTAGAAAAAAAAAAAAGATTTCAGCTGACGAGAAATGATAACAGGTAAGGGGGGCAAAATATAGTTCCGCACTTGGTTTCATTGTGCTCCTCGATCTTTAAGCAGCAATGGTGTCATAGGTCCAATGTTCATGTATTTAACACAGATTTAAAGTAACACTAAAATGAAACAACAGACGTGAAACTAAGCATTAATAGCATTCCTGCAGCCTATTTCTTAATTGTCAAAAAAATCTGGTCTGCTATACAGCAAATTAGGCACATACACACATCACAGCACAGGCACATCACATACTGACATTTTCAACACATTATGTGTGAAAATAAATGTCATATTTTTGTCACTTGTGCACAAAAAAACTGATGGATTAAAATCCTGAAATGTGGATTTGGAAACACAAAGTACGCAGAGCTGTGTGTCCATTTGAGACTGCACAATTCGCAGATGGTCTTAAGTGTGTTGTGTGTTCACAGCGGAAAAAGAACAAAAATAAGTATAGTGAAAAAGTTAGCACGTAGACTTTACGTTCATTTGCACGCTGTACAAGGAGCTGCAACAAACAAAACAAATTTGTAAGTGATAAAACAGCTTCGGGAAGGCGTACATTAAGTCCCAAATGATCGTGTCTTAATTCAAATAAATTCTGAACAGATTTTGTGTTTGGAGAGTGTTCACACTAAGTGTACTGAATATGAAGTCCAGCGTACTACAGGGTACTTAAAATCAAGTGAAGCAAAAAAAAAAAAAAGTTAGTATGCATGCTAGAGAACACTTGATTTTGTTGTGTGCTGTTGCCCCTTAATGCCACGAACAAAGCAGACCGTGTTACAGTAAATATGAAAATTTCCAGTAAGGAATGATGTGGTGGAGACGGGTCGCGCTTCGTGTTTACTTCTAATGGAAACAGTTGATTTCACTGATCAGCACGTTGGTGGGAGAGGATGATTTGGTCTGTGAGGAAAGAAACACTTGTGTGGAGATAGTTAGAGAAGAGCTCTGCACTGATCTGGCCACACAAGTGTGGAGGTCATATCATCGTGGAAAACACACATTCATAGTATTGTTATGGAAGATGACTCTGCTAAATGTCATTTAAATTCCTTATAATTTAAAGTATTATTTCAACAATACTTAAAATTCAGATTTAGGAGATTAAAGGTCGTCCCTGTTAGAGTACAGCAAAGCCAGAGTGAACGCAGCCTGCGACCAGTCAGATCACCACAAACCAACACTAACAGCACAACAAGCAGCCCACACAGACACAAAGCCACAGTTTCACATTTCTTTCAGGACACTTTTTTTTCTTTTCTTTTTTACATTGACCTCCTCTGTGTTTAAAGGGGCGTGGCTACAGGCGAGGGGGGCTTTGCAGCGGCCTGTATTGTTTGGCCTGAGCTGACTGTGGAGAGCCTTTTGTTGGCCCATTGGGGGGCGAGGAGGTGGAGATGGAGGTGGAGGGGGGGGGGACAATGTGGCTTTGCACCAGGCCTGGAATTAGTATTCTCCTACCATTCCCCTGAGGAGCGGCACACCCCCCACTCCCTTTTGTCCCCCATTCAACACACACAACACACTCAATATTTCTTTGAGTTTTGGTTGTTTTAAAAATCTGAAACTTTCTTTTAAACATTTTAGCTCAGTAGGTTTTTTTTTAATTGTCGCTACATAGCATTTCAAAGATTAAATGGTACAGAATAGCAACTAATGAAATCATTACTGCTGAGCATTGGTGAAAGGATGCTGTAGTGTTTTACTTTCTTGGATCTTCCTTCCTGGGGGCCGGTGGGTTTCATTAATTTCACTACAATTAAAGGACAAAAAACTTAAAAGTTGTTGCAGCCCAGTGAATTTAATGTCATCTTTCATGACTGTGTGTGAATGCAGTTGTAAGTGCAAAGACTTTGCACTGACTGCATAACACTAATCTCCACTGGGAGGTTTCACATTTCTATAAGTTGTAATCTAATGTTGTGAATAAATAAACAGGTGGCTGCTTTGACAGTTTAGAAGGACGCTTGTTTTCAAACTAAGTATCCTGAAAACTATACCTGAATTGCCTTCAAAGCCAAACACTGATGGTGTGCTGCTTTAATTTAAGAAATGTCACCACACATATTTTTCCTCACCTGCCACACTTTATATCCAAACAAATCTATATGTTTCAGTAAGAACTCATTTGCAGAGACATTATCAAACAGGTTGCAGTGCAGTGTGAGCCGCTCAGCTCATTTGTTCCAGCGCGTTGGGGCTGTTGATTTGTTAATTGGCTGGATTTAGAGAGCGGGGCGCACGGCTGCTCGGCCGGCTGCTCTCCGCTGCGCCTGTTCAGCGGCACTGATCCGTCCAGCCTCGTTAACACTACAAAGTCCCCGGCTACTCATTACCAAACCAAAAACGAAGGAAGAGTTTCGACTCCCCCTTTTTTGCTGTGCAATCAAGTCGAGGGAGAAAGCTGAAGAAGCATGGCAGGAATTCGAACCACTTCGCTCTTCCGATTGCTGAGAGGGGGGCAAAGCGCTGAACAAAAGCTTCATTTTTCCCCATAAAGGAGAGGAAATCACAGCTGCTCGGAGCCCTTAATGATATCTGTTTTGTTTGCGCGCCGGCTCGTATCCTCCCTTTCCACTCTCTCATTGTGGACTTGAAGGCTGCTTGCCGCTGCGCGTCCTCGGCCACATGTATCATCATCTGAGCCCGGAGCGGATGGAGGGTGATGGAGGGGTAGAGCGGAGAATAGCTTGCTATTTCAGTCCCAGCTGTTCGGCAACGAGATGCTGACATTTCACCCTATCAGTTTAATTACTGTTGCCATGGCAGCGGAGTGCTGGTAAAGGCCAATAACGGATTTAACACAGCGACTCAATTTGCCATGCAGCTTTGACTAACAGCTCCAGAGCCGTTATGAAGCAGCACATATCAGCCCTATGATCGAACATAACAGCAGCGCACATCTCTTAAACGTCCTAATGAAAGGTTTATCAGTGGAACAACACAGATAGTGGATCAGGTTAGAGCAACAGCGGGTCAGATCTGGACGCGTTGCCTTCGACGCAGAGGGATGCTGCAACACACTAAACACACATGAAAACGTGGCGATCATACAAGCGCAAAGTGAGCGTCTTACCGAAACTTTTCTCCCTTTTCTGCATTTGTTGAACCGCTGAAGCACCACCATGCAACCCGGAGCCGCCTGGTCCCGGAGAGCAGCTGTCTTGCAGGCAGGCTGGGATCAGGCTTTGTTAGAGAGCGAACAATCCAGCACGGCGACCAGCGAGGAATGAAAAGAAGGAGGGAAACACCGGGCAACAAAAAAAGCAGAGAAAACGCAGGCGGAGAAGCGATAGAGCGAGATGTTCGCTGCTGTACGGTCGTCACACGGCGTGTGAGAGCACGTTTTATCGCCCACTGGAGATGTATGTGCGGAGAGATGCAGGCAGCGAATGACAGGACGACAAAGAGATGCTTCCCCTCCGCGCCGCAGCCACCATCTAATCCTACTGGCCACATAACACAGCGGCTCCTGCTGCACGCTGCTTCGCTAATCAGCGCTTTGACGTACCAGCGGGCACCGTGCACACAAGAGGGACGGTTCCCTCGATCTGCTGCCCCAGCATCACCACCGGAACCTGCTCTCCCAGAACTCTGATTTCCACTCACATTATATTCAAACCCCACAGCCTCGTCAAATCTGAATTCATTCCAGCTTTGTTGTAATGATTGGGAACATTTAAAGACCAGCAAAGAATGCTCCAAAAATGCCCAAATAGTGTCTCCAGCTCACTCACCTTTCTCAACAAGTTTAAGCAGAAGCCAGAACTCCAGCAGATTCAGCTCCAGATCCCCTCTGAGCACAAAAAGTTCACCAAACTGGCATCGCGCGTCGCGCCGCACTGATCTTCAGGATGGAAATAATGAGCTCCACATGGATCAGAGCAACCAGTTTGGTGGAGACTACCCAGCTACAGGTGTTCTGCCGCCCGCCGTGGAGCATGCGGAAAAGTGTGCGGGGCTCAGGCCGGTCGGTGTCCCCAGTGCATCAGCAGCAACTGAGTGGCGAAGAGACGTGGGGAGGGGGGGTGGAAGTCAAGCTTTATTATCTCCAAACCCCCAAATCCCTCACCGGTGAGACATTACACCGCCACGATAAGGTCATTCACTTATTACCAGCCGCTCCACTATAACTGAGAGCATGCATCGCGTGCGCGCCCCCGGAACGCCCATATTTTTTTCCTCCAACGTCCTTCAATCTTGGAGCCGCGGGTGCGCGCAGACGCACGGCGCTCATTATATTGTGGAGACAGAAAAACAGGTAGGTTTGTCTAGAGATGCACGCGGAGCGGTTTGAACATCGAGGGAAGTTATGTCTTTAATATAAGGTGAACTATCTGCTTTCAGGAGCAGATTATTAGAAACAGCTGACACCTGACTAACACCTGTCCTCCAGTAGAGCTGGAATCATTTTTTTACAGTATAACCGTATCAGAAAATATCGGTATCACGGTATATCTAATTACACAATTACTATTATTGTTATCAGTATATAAAAACAGGAGGTATATTTGGTCGAGCAAATACTGGAACTTTAGAAAAAAAAAAAACATTTTCAGTGAAAGTACATGTACAAAGTCTGACAGCAGTCCAGGAGGACAAGACATGCACGATTAGACTGCCTTTTTTCCATTACCATAGAGAAACAGATGTACACTGTATGTCAATTTTCGCTGCAACCCTAACCTCCACAAACCAGAGATTACTCAGACACAGAGTTTAGTCACAGCAGTGTAAAGTGCAGAGGGCGTTAAACAGAGGTACATTTATGCCCACACGTATGTGTTAGATTAAACTACTTAAAAAGGTCTGCCAAGTTTATTAGGAGCTCTAATTAATGAGTTTTAAAACAATTATCCTGTGCGCTCAAGAGTCCAGACTGTCAGTTTGCTCTTTGACGTGTATTTTTGATTATCATGCTGTTTTTCTCATTCACTTCAATGAGACACTCGCGTGTGCAAAGAAAAACAGAGTGCAAATAAAGAAGAATCTAATATGGACAATTAAATCAATCTTCTCTGAGGTCAATGATTCCTCTCCTCTCTGGCATTCTTCCTCCATGCGCGCACACGCAGACGTCATGTGAGGTCCCGGGCTCCACCGTGGCAGCCCGGACTGATTATCACCTCTCCACACTCTTTATTTAAATCATTCCTGTAATTAGAGGACGGGATTATTCTTCGCCCTGTTATTGCGCCAGTCCGACCCCAGTTTGGACTCGACAAGACCACGACGAGGCCCACGTGTTAGGGCACCCCACACCACCAAAACCACCACTTCACGCCTCCCTATTGCATACACACCACACAGTGTTCCAACACACAGCCTGACAAGTGTAAGTTATTCCCTTAAATATTCTGGTAGGGAGAGGAAGGAGGGAGGGAGGGAGGCTGTGGGAGGAGGAGATACAAGTCAATAGTTGGCATGCGGCTCCAGCCTAAAATGCAGCGATAATGAGATGGGTCATAAAATGCTCTCTGCGCCATTATGAGTGATGAGATGCATTAAAGCTGACAGGGTATTACCTGCCAGTAATTAGGTTTTGTCATGGATTGAATTATTTCAAGGCGGCCTATCTTGGTAATCATGCAATTTTCTGCAAAGTGTGTGCAGCGTATGTGTGTGTGTGTGTGTGTGTATGCGTGTATGTGAGGCTGCCTGCCACCTCTCTCCCGGTGCCCTTCCGCCGCTTATTCATCTTCTGTGTGAATGGGAAGATGGAGACAGAAGAGAGAGAGGTGGAGGATGGAGGAGACCGTCACACGGCGCGGATCGAGTTTCGTCATTCAACGGAAACACGCATCATATGTGCGCAAACGGACAGAAATGTTTGTACCTGACCCCAACCCTCCGCCTATAATGAAGAAATATGTCAGCGGGGACCTGCACGAAAACCCGACACCATCCTCAACACCAGACTCTCTGATTAAAGAGGATGACGCCAAATTTGATGTTGTCCTCAGCAGCTGTTTATGTCTTCTCGCGGAGCTCGCCGACACTTTACGCGCAGCCTTCGCTCTGCGCAAACCCAGGAACACACACACAGAGGAGCGAACACGTACCTTAAAGTGCAGCCGGGGATGCCCAAAACAAACTCTCTCAGCGGTGTTTATCTTCTCCGTGTCCACAACTTTCTCACAGCTCGTCCAACTCCAAACAGAAAACTTCAGGAGTTGGAGAACACTTGCGTCTCTGCTTAAGTTGTTGGGATGTCAGATCGCCCCCTAAACTCGGCTTCTTTCCCCCCCGGCCCCGGCTTCACAGGGCGTCTCTCGTCCCCCTCGCTGTTTCCTCACCTTCTCCCTTCTCCCCCGTCTTTCTGTCTCTCTGTCTCTCTGGCAGGAAAAAGCAGCGGAGAGTCGAGCCTCCTCTCCTATTTAAGCCCCTCCACCAGGTCCCCAGTCAGCAGCACACTCCAGCTCATCCAAGAAGCTGACAAGCACCGTTAGGGAAGGCAGCGCATGTTGCTCTAATGGACCTCATTAAGCTCTACTTACAGATGTTCTCTTAACATAATTGATCTGCAGCGAGTTGAGAGGACGGCAACCTATTCCCCAGCCCCCAATTATGGCCCGGTAATTAGATCCCCAACCTCCAGTTCTCCACATTCACCCTTCTAACATTCCGAAATATCAAAGTATCTCTTTCTCTCAAAGCGACCGCCCCCCACCACCTCACCCCCATGTCTCCTCCCTCCTCCCCCTCCCACCCACAAGACACTATTGACAGTCAGATCTGCTAACCTTTGTAGTGTAGCCAGACTTAGCAGTGCACTCACTCCAATTGACAGAGCTCACTCACTCTTCTATTCCTCCTTCCTCTCTCCTTGCCTTTTTTTTTTACCCGTTGGGAGACAGAGAGAGAGTCAGAGTGAGTGGCACAGATGGAGAAAGAAAAGGGGGAGGAAGGGAAAAAAGTAAGTTTCCATAAAGGGTTGTAATGATAATATCTGTCAGGGGAGGATCTTTTTTCCATAGTGTTTTTTATCTTAAATAATTCCTCTGATGGCAACTTTGAATGCAGAGAGGGAGAGATGGGGGTGCTGGGAACCGGTGAGGAGTGATAGTGCAGCTTTTATAATGCCAATCAGTGCCACTCCTATCACCCATCTAATTAGCCAGAGTGCTAAAACAGAAAGCACTTGGGGGAACGGTAATGTCATGCTTTTGCATGTTTAAAAGACGACAATTTTCACACCGACATATAAAAAAAACTATTTGTGACGGGGGTGTAATCAAGTATTTTCTGAGCAAGCAGTGTTGGATAAAATGTTCTCACATCTTTTTGTTGTCACAGATGTGCTGCACATCATTTTTCTGGATGTCTGGATGCATGACCCAGATTGAAATGTTCCTTCGTGTGTGTGTGTGTGTGTGTGTGTGTGTGTGTTTCCACAACATCGGCGTGTGAAACTGTAGCACTTGTATGAGGCCTGCAGCTCCTGACTGGAGGACAGATATCTGTCAGTGTAATGGTGACAGTACATCCGTATATGCATCAGTTACGCATCATTAGCACAGCACAGGTGGATCGATTGTTGTCATTCTGTTGTTTGTATTTTTTATTGTTGTTTTATTGTCTCAGTTTTTATCTGCTGCATTTTTAAGCCTCTCAAGAAAAGTTTTACATAAATAAAGATTTGTCCTATTATACATTTATTATTATTTATTTGCGGTGTTTTCTCCGCCCGTGAGTTCCAGTAGTTAAGGCTGTTGATTTATACTTTTCCTGTTGTAAACCAACAATGCATATCTAGTAGTTACTAACAATTATAAACAAGTGTTTATTTTGACTCAGTACATATAAACCATCTGGCTGCCCCAAAATTCCAAAGCACCAAATGTGGATTAATCCACTGCTGACTCTTCTGACTCTTACTCTGAGTTAAAACAAGTGGTTTTTTTTTTTTTTTTTTTTTTTTTTTTTTTTTTTTTTAGTGTTTCAGTTCAGTTTGGTCTAACTGCTCGTGTCATCTGACACTGCATGGAAAATCTGAAAATTAAAAAAAAAGAATAATGCTTTAAGTCTTGTTTACTGCTTTGCCTCTTTTTCTGGCAAATAAATTACACTCAAAATAGAGGCTGTAACCACAACTACAGAAAATTTTACAAAAAGAGCAATACACTTAATTAACATGGACACACACACAGTAGTTTATTTTGTCTCAGTCCCACATACCCTGTCCTGCTGCCACAAATACTCACTAGAGCACCAAATGTGGATTAATCCACTGCCAAAAATAGTCCCAAACAAATGCACTATTTCCTGCTTTAGAGTAATGTTTGTTTAAAAACTACAATAACCAGCTGTTACAAGAAATCACTCACACTTTATCTTTATCTTTATCTATATCTATATCTATATCTATAAAAGAGACACAACACAGAAACAAAGAGAACCCAAAACAACAACCCGGTCCCACTCTGAAGTTGCTGCTGCTTGGTCAGTGACTTCCTGCGCCAGACACTGCTGAAAAAAGTCATCCTTTCATGCCAGCATGATACGCGGCCAGTTGCCATTATTGTTTATCATCAGGAGCACGGCAGGACAATAATAAAAGTTAAGGCAGTTGAAGTCGAAGTAGGGCGGGCAGAATGGGTGGAGGATGGGTCCAACAACCACCAACTTTCACCTAGGATGCGGATGTTTTCTTCCCGTAAGATTGTAAAGCCATCTATGTTCAATTTTTTCAAAATCCAACCACGTGCCTGTGTTGCCAAAACCTAACCATGTGTGTGTGTTGTTAAGGGAAAAAAAAACCATCAATTAGCGATGTTGTACTGACGTAGTGACTTTATTTTGAAAGAGACTGTATGCAAAGTGTACATTTCCCATGAAAACATAAGTGTTTTTTGAAAACAGACAATGGATGTAACAGGAGTTGACACACACTCCCAGGCCGTCAACAACCAACACACCAAGGTTGCCTTGTACGTCATATGTAGACGTGGAAAATCCAGGGCTGTTTCAAGACACTCTGGGGGCCACAGACAAGAGCCCCCCCCCCCAAGACATGAAATCAAAAAAAGAGAAAAAAATTAGACCTAGAGCCGGACTTCTCTGTCGCCGGTAAGCCCTTATCTTGGGCCGTATTTGACAGGAATACGGCATCTGTGACCCCCGTTCAACCCACAACCAGCAGGATTCGGCTTTCGTTTCTGCTGCTGGTTGAAATCTGTACTCCTGTGCTCCTGAATGATTTGATTTCCTTGCGCAAAACTATTTTTTGTTGCAAATGCGAGTAAAATGCTCGCACCGTAGAGCTCTGTGGAAAACAAATCACTGTAGCATATATAAACAAATCTAACTTACAAGTAAAAAGAAATAAATAATAACTTTCACTGCTTAAAGATACTCAATAGCTCAGCTAATACCTGAAATGTCACTGGATAGAAACCACTGCAGCAGCATATTGAGTGCCAGGTGGCCAGCGAGCACTGTTATTGGATGGCGCATGGACACTCAACCTCTTGCGATTGGACTTTGAACTTACCCCACAGTAGTGGTACCGTGAGGTACCGTGAGTACTACGGTACTCCAACAATGCTAGTGCGGGTGGCAACCAATCATGCGGGACATGATCTCAATTTGCGTGACAGGTGAAAAAAGACAAAAATGCTGCGCAGTCCCGCACAGTGCGGAACGTCTGGTCACCCTACTTAGCCACTCGCAAGCAGCAGCTAGTAGGGGGCCCCATTAGGGGGGATTCCAACGTGTTGTCGTTGTTGCAGTGTCTATAGGGATTCCATCATATTGTCATTGATATGGACGAATGTCAGCCGTCTCTGGGGGCCCCCTTCCAGCTCTGGGCCCTAGGTAATTGCCTAGCTTGCCTGTCCGGTTGCGAGGGCCCTAGGAAAATCTATGACCAAATGTTGATATGTGACAAGGTCGGAGTGAGAATGTGTTAAAAACAACAACAACAAAAAAGGGGCAAAGCCACAATGTCTGTGTGTCTTGCTCATGTGTAGAAGAGGTGGTGGGGCCTTCTGCATACTGTGCCCAGGAGCCCATTATCTCATTATCCACACATGGTTAGACATATGACTTGATATGACAAATAAAATAATGACCAAATTGCTACTTCTAATGTAAAAACCTACAGTAAAATCAACTTTGGTAATGCTAGTTCTAAAAATGAAGAAAAAAATAGCAAAACCAAAGAAAAAATTACTCCATTAAAAGCATAAGTATTGTATTCGTAATTTTACAAAAACTTAATCGATAAAATATACTGATGGTACTAGAAGAACTTGCTGTGCAGAATGAGCCTTTAAAGTGTTTTATTTGAAAATTTAAAAGAATTATTACTGATGTATTTACAGCATTTTGATGTTGATGATGTATGTTGTCAAGAAAAAGCTTCTTTATTGGGTAGTTTAATTTTAAACAATGTATGGTATTTTGTAGCCGATGACAATGTGTTTTTTTTGTGTGTTTAGTTTTTCCACACTGAGCATTTCTGTGGTGTTTTGCTCATCAGTCAATCAGTGTTCAGTTTGGAGTATTGCACAATGTTTTTCCTGTTGATGAACTTTAAGTTTCTGTTTTCTTTGTTGGCTGTTCACCCTGTCACCTCTTCTTCCCCCCAGTTTTTCCCAACCACACTGGAAATGTTAGATAATATGACATATGACTCACAGGATTTTCCAGAAAAACACCTCACACACTATGAAAGCTCACTTTTGCCAGTGCAATGAAAAAAAAAGATCCTGATAAGTATTATAATGATAAACATTATCTAAGTCATTGCTTAGAAGGGTTAGCATTGTTTTTACACAGTCGTTGTTTTGAGAAAGTTTATCATTATTCTGACATACTTAGTCATTATTTTAATAGAGTTTCTTATTATTTTGAGATACAAAGTTATTATTTGGAGAAAGTTTCTTATTATTTTTGAGAAAATAAATGATTCATTTGATTATCATTAATTAATTATTTTGAGATGGTCATTATTTTTAGTGTTCAATATTTTGAGAAAGTTTCTAAATTTTTGAAGATTTTATTGTTATTTTAAAACAGTATCATTATTTTGACAAAGTTTATGATTATTTTGAGATACTAAATCAATAATACATTTTTTATTCTGAGATAGTCATTATTTTAAGCAAATGTCTCATTATTTTGAGACACTTTAATTGTTATTTTGAGATACTAAGTCATTATTTTGAGGAAGTTTTTCATTATTTTGAGATAGTCATTATTATGAGAAAGTTTTGTTATTTTGATATACTAAGTCATTATTCTGGAGACACAAAATCATTAATTAGAGAAAGTTTTTCATTATAATGACTGAACAGGATTTTTGGTTTTAATGACACTGGCTGACACTGTCTTCTATAAGACTGCAGGTGTGTACAACAGCTGACGTAAAGGTTTTTATGAGGATGTACAGAATATTGACATCAACTTGTCATGATGATCAAATGTGAGTGGTTTGTCCCATCAGTAACATTTGTAATGTCTGTCTTTCTGAGAGAATCTCCTCACTGTGGGCTTTGACATTTACTAGAGGACACTCCAGCCCCTCACTGCTATCATTCTCCTCCTATAGTGGAGTCCTCACAGGCCGACCAGGAGCTTAAGGATTGGATACTGC